CTCCACAGTCCCATGTGTGTGTAGAGGGGAGATGGGTTTAAAACCACTTGCAGAATATATGGCAATCCCCATTGTTTCCTCAACAGAAGTCATGACTGGAAATGAGCGATAAAAGCCTTGGATTACAAGGCTTGTGAAAGTCCTCACAGGCCTGAAAGTACCAATTATATTTTTATCGCTCATTTCCAGGAGTTCAGCTTTTGTTGTTGGATCCTAGATGGATCAAAACTTACCCCAGCAAGATGCATGTTAAATTTTGTGGTCAATATTTATTCCTTTAAAGCTCTGTATTTTCGGCACTGTAGATGCAAGTTTGTCTTCTAAAATGGAATCATTATGTGCACGCTTAGTTAAATACTTTATCCCCACGAGCATACCCTACTTAAGGTTAACTAATGGTTTTGGAATGCTGTGATGCAGCTGGTTTTCCTTTCTGTAAATTAGTTTGCTTAGATGCTGGAAGAAGCAGCTATGGGCAATTATGCATATGTTACACAGTGCAATCCAGTACTGTTTAGAGATATCTGAAATAGCTCTGAATGGTCTAGCTGTCCTATATGGTTCTTCTGAGGAAGGATGAAAGAAACTTCAGTTTTGTCTGTTTTCCATGTAGATATCAAAAAGGTGCAGGCAATAAAGACCTGTGCAGGTTTATTATTTTTCTCTTGTTTAAAACACCAGGGTTTTTTTGTTGGTTGTGTGGGTGGGGTTTGGGGTTGTTTTTTTTGTAAAGAAGTTACAATTTGGGATATCTTTATCTTCTTAAGCACAAAGGCAGTTTATAAGTAAAAGACTTTTTTCCCAGCCCCATTTACATGTTACCAGTCTGTAGGTTAATAGGCTTATCTATATTTCTGTAGGAATAAATACCAGAAATACAAGTCCCTCTACATATCAAAGTGCTCTTAAACATATCATTGCAGTGTTTTTCAGGAAAAACATGATTTTAGCCCGTTAACAGGTTTATTATTGGCAGTAGATGAGAGGATGCAGTTCCAGCCTTAATAAGGAGATAACTATTCTTACTTTCTATTAAAGCTGAGATTTGTTTTTCTTTCTCTATTTTGGGATTGTGAAATGTTCTGTATCTCTTAATAAATACCAGATATGCTGCAGTAAAGATTTTTTTTTTAATAACATTCCCTAAACTACTGAAACCATACATGTGACACTTCCAGAATTATTTTTTTGCATAAACAGGTCTTACACTAGTCTTGAATCTTAGTTGTCAACTGTTCTGTCCTCTGGCATATGCCCTGCTTGTTAAACATTTGACAAGACATTTGACTTTAAATTGTATTTTTACCTTGTTATGGAAGAGTATTAGCTCACATCTTTTGAAGTCAAATTCTATGTCAGCTCAAGCTTTTTATCACATACCAAGAATTTTAGATTCTTCATCAAATGCATGGTTAAGGCTATTGGATTGTTTACATCTAGTTATACAAAATATTGCAGAAAAAATGGATATTTTAGTTGCACAAACTAGTAAGTTTGATGCATGTCTGATGGCTCTGGGATCTAATCTTCAGATAAGTTTCCTAGAGCACAGGGTTCTTGAGGAAAAAGCATCTTCCACTGGGAAGTTCTGGTACTTTGGAATATATTTCATCTTGGGGAATGTGCAGCCATGACAGTTTGAGCTTGAAGCTATTTTGGTCTCTGCTTTGACTCTCTCTAGTAATGCTTCAGCTTTCCCTCTCTGTGCATGCATTCTTTTATTGGAAAAACCAAATGTTTGTAAAGCGTACTTACTTCCACACAGTTGGGTGATGAGTTCTGCCTTTTGTAGATATCCCTGTTGAAGATCTTTTTCCTGTTTGTTTTTTGGGTTTTTTTTCTCCCTCCTGTCTCTGTTGCTTTGGAAATAGTGTATCAGTTCTTAGCATGTACCATAGCCAGAAGCACTAGCACCAGTCAAATGTGTTGCTTGTAATAAAAGGGTGAGAGTGGCTTCATTTCTAATGTCCATCTCGCAATGCTTTTTTTTAATTTAACTTGCATACAAATTAGATGTGTAGGAATGTTGAAAAGGCTGGTACTGTTTGAGCTTCCTCATTTCTGACCACTAAATTAACTTGATTTTGTGGCTTCTGTTACAAAGTACTGGAAAGCATGAAAGTAAATAGAAACTTCTACCAAGAATATGAGGGATGGCATTGCTACTGTACTGCAGCCTGGATGCTGACCACAGGGTGCATTCCTAACTTAAGAATATGCTGGGGTAGCCTGAGATATGAAGCATGGCAGGAGTGCCTGTAGTGTCTCTGGTTTTAGGTGGAATGAAATAATTTTAGGCTTAAGAATATGTATCTTAATTCATACAGTGAACGTTGGTTTTCTGACTTTTCTTGTGCTTTTGTGAATTACAACAGAACTCTACCAATCCTGTATGTCCAGATGTTCAAGATACTTGTTTGAATGTGCCAAATGGTGTTGAATGCGTGTTATTTTCAATCAAAAGTTGTCTTGGGAATTACCCTTGAGAGGAGATGTTCCAGGAAATTTGTATAACCCCTGTTTTTGGCCAAAGACTTAGAAATATTTAGAGCTGATTTGTATTTAAGAACAGTTGGCTAGTAACTTTTAAGTCATTGTATTTAAAAATCATTATGTTTTTAGTGTGAATGTAGGTATAAACGATGATAGCAAACAGTTGCTTGCTCTTTTTCTTTACAAGGTGCATATTTGGGCTTCTCGTGAAGACAGGAAAGCAAACAGAGTTTGTACTCTAGTTGAAATAGTAGGCTGGTTGCTATAGATTTGCGCTTGTCTTTCAAGGGTGCTAACAAAATGAGTTACTTGGTATGCTGCCATGGGGCAGAGTATGATACAGTGGTTAAAGGTGGATAGCTAGAAGGATAGCTGAAGACTTGAAGCGGGGGGTGAAAACCACTTCAAAAGATACTGAGATTGTGGAGTGCAATCACCTTTTCTCATCAGTTAAACTATTGTTCTGACTCCCACAAACTAGAAACAGAAAAGGGCAAGAAGTCCAGATAACTCCCCAGGATCTGAAAAGTATATTGGCATATATGCATACACGACTGTGAACACGCCTGATCTCCTCTGATCTCTGAAGCTAACAAGTTGGGCCTGGTTAGTACTTTGATGGGAAACCTCTTGGGAATGGCAGGTGCTGTAGCCTCTTCCTCCTAGCAAGAGTGGAGTCTCCATCCTCGGTGATACTAAAAATCTGGCTGAACAAGGCCCAGCAAAACCTGCTATAGTTGACCTTGCTTTGACCAGGGAGGCTGGACTATAGATGATCTCCAGAGGTCCCTTCCAACCTCAGTGATTCTGTGACAGTGTCCTCTTGAGATGAGATTAACGTAACTTCACTGAGGTTATACTTGAGATGAGATTAACGTAACTTCACTGAGGTTATACTTTTCAGGTCATTTAATGTATTATGCCTGGTGTGGAAGAACAGAAATTTTGTAGAGATCACTAAAATGGATAGGGTAAAGAGGCTGTTGAGCAGCAAGCTTTAAGCCACCTTAGCACTGGGCAAACACTTTGTCTTCTCTGGAAATCTGAGGCTGCGTTGTCAAGTTTGTAAGAGGTCTTTTACCATTTAACTTTATGGTCTTCAACTGTGTACTGAACTTTTAAGCTATGTAATAGATTTAAAATTGTCAGCTGTGTTTCTGTAATGCTGTCAATGAACACTGAATGTGTAAAGCCCTCTCTTTCTCCCTGGGAGAACTAATGTGTACAAGAAGCCGTGTATTAGATGTAAGATCCATTTGGGAGCAGTTTCTAGAGAAGATTGTTATGTTTGATTAGGAAGATACATGACCTAATTTGTAATTGATCAATTTTTTATTTTTGGTAACTTAAACATAAGATATTTGGTTAATCTAAGACTGAATTTACTTACACAATTATTAAAGTAACAGATGTACAAGAACAAACTCTCTTTAGATAAAAAAAAGCTTGTACAAGTTACACCTCACTTGGCTGTGCTTCAGAATAAAGCTGTGTGATCTGTGAAAGTACATTACTAAAGTACCTTGAATTTGTTCTCTTAACAAGATGACTTTTCAGCTCTTAGTATTCTACATTTGAATTCTAGCATGTGGAAGACTTGCAGAAAAACTAGTATTTAGCCTTCATGCCTAAGGAGAGTGTGAACCCACAAGCTAACTTGGTTTGGGAAAAAGTTGAAAGTGTTCTCACAGATAACCTTTTAAGATTTGCTGGATCATAAGAATGGGTTTCCCAGTAACTTGGCAGTAAATTTTTATTTACAGAGGCTAAAAAAGAGGGAACGTGAGATTTGAGGTTTTCATCTGGCTCTGTCTAGCCTTTTTCCTAAAGACTGTCTCATATTTCTGTTTTGTTGAGTTGCTCTGTGGAAAAAGGAATGGGATTCTTTCTTCCCCAATCTTCTGTGTATTAAAGGCTCTTAAATATTTCCTTCTAAGTAGATTGCATGTTTTAACCTTTAGGAAAGAAATGACGTGAAACAGACTTGTAATGATAAATATTATTATATTATTACCCAGTGTAGTATAGGTAGTTCTGGATAATGTGGGTTTGATGGTCTTGCTAACAGCTTCAGAAACTTGAGGGTGCCGGATCTTAATGGTGGCTAGAATCAAAAGGAAAGAAATAGGAAGACACACGTTCTTGGTTAGTGTTTTTTGTTGGTTTTTTTGTCAGCTTCACAGATTACTTAAATATACTTGCGTGCTAATTATTTTGGGGAGATTGTGCAGATCTCCTAACTGTAACTGATCCTTGCATGCTCAGTAGTAATATTGAACTAGAATCGATCAAAGATTAAGTTGATACAAGAAACTGCTTTCTCATTCATTTTTACCTAGCAGTCCCGGAAAGCTGCACTGTCTTGCTATAAACAACTTGTAATGTTAGCTCCTTGCTGTTGTAAATTACTTAATATTATATATTATGACATTATTTAATAAGTGTTAGTTAATATCAGAAGTGAGGCTGAAAGTTGAAATTTAATTTTGATTAATAATGTTGTTTAGGAATATGAAGCACGGACAGGAAGAATGTATAAACCTCCACCCCCATCAGCAAGACGTAAAAATATTGAATTTGAACCACTGTCAACTACTGCTTTGATTCTGGAGGATCGTCCAGCGTAAGTATGATTCTGCTGTGGAACTGATGATGACTGAATTTCTTCAATATGCTACTGATGAGCTAAACTTCACCAGTCTTACACAAAAGTATCAATGGCTTATTCCATCCCAGATAATAGCCTAACAAATACCTCCAGAAGAACCTTTAAGTATATTATAGTCTATATGAGGAATTTCTTCTCGCTGTAATGGGGCTACCAGTATGTTATCTACTGCATATCACAGCTGCCTGTGGCAGTGTTGTGGGCATCCTTAATCAGGAAAATTCATGAAGACTTTTATGTATTTATTTCCTGCTATCTCAGTGTGTGCTCCCTTCTCCTTCCCCCGTTCTGGAAACTTAATTTCCTAGACCAGTTGGGAAGTCTTAACAGTGACAGTTGTTACTTCAGCAAACCTGGATTTGGCTTACCAGAATAGTCTTTTAAAAAAGGAGAGGAAAGGGGGGGGGGGGGGGGTGGGGGGTGGAGTATTAGGTAGGTAACAGCAGGAGTGGGAAGAATTGTTTTGAAACACAAGAAATACCTTCTTGTCACAAATGCTGAATGCTCATTTTGTATCTGGCAACCACAGTTAAATGCTTTGTTGGTACCAAGATGGTAGTGTTCACTGATACCTGTTCCTTGCCCTTGTTCCAGTTATGTTTTCATGGCTCCTTAAAACTACAGCCGAAGGCAAGGAAACAGCAGGTGAAGATGCAACAAAAACTGCATTAGGTACAAATCAGAATAGTAATGAAAAATGGGTAATAAATTGGTCAATGTTTTCAGCTATACAGTCTTCAGCAATTTGAAGGAAAGAGGAGGACCTGCTGACTAGGAACACATGCTGTGAGGAAAGGAAATGGAGCAAAGCTTTCAGATTGCACCTTGCAAAAGCTTACGATGGCACTGTTAAATGTTTGCTCTAATCAGTTCCAATTAGGAAATGGAAAACAGAACTTGTAGTGTTTCCTTTGATATTCTCTCTAGTGGTATATAAGCTCATTCAATGCAAAGACAGAAATATCCTGAATGGAGGTATGGATTGCTGACTATTTTTTTGTAAATGCATTATTTCTTTCACTGTATGGTGGGAGAGTAAGATATGCAGTAACTGGTTTGCTGATGCTTTTATGTACTTTCAAAATACCACAATTCACAAACTAATGTAAGTATGTTTTTACAAATGACACTTCCACTTGTTTCAAATTAGAGTGCCATCCCAAGTGTGTAATGTGTTGCCACAATCTCATCCTTGAATATATATTCTGCTCTCGCTTTCATTAGAAATATTAAGAAAGTGATCTTTTCTGCTTGTATGAGAGGAGATCAGGAATAGTGTGGCCAGCAGGAGCAGGGAGGTGATTGTCCCCCTGTACTCGGCACTGGTGAGGCTGCACCTGGAATACTGTGTCCGGTTTTGGGCCCCTCACTACGAGAAAGACATTGAGGTGCTGGAGCGTGTTCAGAGAAGGGCAACAAAGCTGGTGAAGGGTCTGGAGCACAGGCCTTATGAGGAGCGGCTGAGGGAACTGGGGTTGTTTAGCCTGGAGAAGAGGAGGCTGAGGGGAGACCTTATCGCTCTCTACAACTGCCTGACAGGAGGGTGTAGTGAGGTGGGTGTTGGGCTCTTCTCCCATGTAGTTAGCGATAGGACAAGAAGTTTCTCAAGCTGTGCCAGGGGAGGTTTAGATTGGATATCAGGAAAAATTTCTTCACGGAAAGGGTAGTCAAGCATTGGAACAGTCTGCCCAGAGAGGTGGCGGAGTAACCATCCCTGGAAGAGTTCAAAAAATGGTAGATGTGGCACTTTGTGACATGGTTTAGTGGGCATGGGGGTTTTGGGTTGATGATTGGAGTGATGATCTTAGACGTCCTTCCAATCTTAATGATTCCTGGTTTTTACTTTCCATTATAAATGATCCAGCCGCCAAGCCAGGAGGTATGGGGTTGCCACTCTACCCTTAATTGGTTTCGTGGTGGACTTGGTAATGTTAGGTTAATGGTTGGACTGGGTGATCTTAAAGGTCTTTTCCAACCTAAACGATTCTGTGATTTTCTGAGATGGAAAACTTTTTTTCCATATTAAAATGACAAAACTGTCTTCTGTTTATTCTGAACCACAGTAGACTAGGGATTCGGTAAGAGACTGAGACCAAACATTGTGTTCTGATTTGTTTCAAAATGAGTCTGCTTGGTCAAAAGGAAGTGTGCGTTTGGCAATTAGGAGGTCACTATGCAGCCAAAAACCAAACATGTTTTAAGCTGGTGAACTTGTAGCCCTGCAGCAAGCTTCCTTAGCTTTAGGTCTGACATAAATGGGGGTCTATCCTGTCTTCCTTTGGTAAACCTGTCTTCTTCTGTGGGAGTTTTAAAGGGCTAACTATAATGAATAAAAATCTTTACCTTTTATTGAAAATACTTCATCATAGATTTCATTTGAAGAAATGGAGTATCGATATGCACGTATATTTAATGATAAAAATATGCATGTGCAGAAATGCATTCAAATAAATATTAGTGTTTCCCTTTTGTCACTTCATGCAGGCTTCATTTGAGCATCATTCCAGATGTTCAACAAATCTAATAACCCTGCTTTGGGGGAAACTATAGGAGAACTAATAACAGAAGCATAAACATCTGGTAGTTCTCTACTGCTGGCACTGAAACACCGGTAGTGTGAGAACCCCAAAGCTCACCTTAGAGAGAAGCCAAATTAAAACCTGTTTTGAAATGGTTCAGAATGTCATCTGCATGTACTGAATTCAGGAACAACTTCTTTTCAGAAATCTTCCTGCCAAATCAGTGGAGGAGGCTTTACGTCACCGACAAGAATATGATGAGATGGTGGCAGAGGCAAAAAAACGAGGTATGTTAACTGCCAATAATCACTATAATTCTTTTTAACTATGCAGCAGAAATAAAGTAATTTCTGGCCTGTAGGCTAGTAGGTACAGTAAAGAACAGCCTTGTTTAATATCTTGTCTAGGTTATTCTCTGGTACATATGTGCACACAGTTTTAAACAGACTCAATTATTAAATTGTTTTCTTATTCGCCACAGTGAATGTAACTAGGTTCAGGAGTCAGTTTAACCTTTTCTTTAATTTTTAAGTAGGAACTTGATTTGTGTGTTGTGTGCGGTTTTTGGTGTGTGTTTGGTTTTTTGGTTTTTGTGTATTTGTTTTTTTTTTAAAAAAAAACTACTTGTGTAATGTGATCAGCTAGAAACTTTCTGGGTATTCGGACTGTTTTTTTCAAACTGTGTTGCTGCAGTTGCCACTGAGAGCCAAAAAGTATAATAAAGCTGACTGCTTAAAGATCTGTTTTTTCAGGAATTTGAGATAAATTCCAGTGTGAAAACAGATGAAAACTTTGGGGTTTTTCCAACCAGTTGTACCTGTGTGAACTTTCCTACTCCCACTAGATCTGTTTTTTAAATTAAACATATCTGTAGCATCTGGTACTGTGTCAATCTATGAATAGTTGTTGAAATGACTTCTGTAGTCTCGTGCCTAGTATTCAGGCAATAATCTATTTTAAGAATCTGTGCTGCATGTTTTACTTGAGCTGTTGTTAGAGATTCAAGCTTCTGAACTGATTGAGCCTCTATGGATCTGTGGCAGCTTACTCTGAAAGATGTAATAAGAAATCCAAGGCATTTGACAACTCGTTTCACTCTTCTCTTGTGGTCTGTGTCTCGTAAGGTGATGTCATGAACTGCGGTCCATGTTCTCTAACTGGATCTTTGGAGGGTCAGCCATGTGTAGTCTTCTAGTATGTGTGCCATGGTATTCACTAAATTAACTATTGCTACGCACACAAAGCTTCAGTAAAAACAAAACTTAATGAAGCTGGTCAGCCGTATCAGTTTGCCAGGGATGGTATGTTTACTCTGTTGATGTGTCTAATGCATGCATAATTAGAACATGTCTTGCAATTTCACAGTGGTTCTTAGTGATGTCAAGATAGCACTGCTCTGTCCTTCTTTTAGCCTTTTTAATAAGAGGGACCTATCTTTTTTTAACAGAAGGCAGAATACTCTTGTTCAGCATTGTGGCGTTGCCTCAGATCTTTAGGTTCTCTTTCCAGAAAAGAAAATACATAATCCTTCCAGGTGGAAGTTTCAGTAAAACTGGAATAATTTTAAAATGGATGTAGAAGTGCACTTTTGAATAATAATTTTAACTACAATTACTGCTGATTAGTCAAAGTAGTAAGTAAGGTTTAGGTAGAACATGGTGTGAAATTCATTACAGGAAAAACAGCGCTGATGACGTACTTGCTTTTTAGTCATTCTGTGTACTGCAGAAAAGAGAGCTATGAGTTTTCTAGCCAGATTTTTGCTTGTCTACATCACTGTGTATTTGAATAACTTAAAGACAGCTTAAATTAAAAAATTTCCTCAGAAATACACCTACAATCAACATAAATAGTATCAGCTAGCTTATGCACAACTGTAATTTACCCTTGATCTCTTTCAGACATCTAAATAATTAGATAATAGCTGAATTATTTACCTAATAATTTATGTACACTAATACAGAATTATTAACATGTTATGCCTCACAGAAATTAAAGAAGCACATAAAAGGAAAAAAATAATGAGAGAGCGTTTCAAGCAAGAAGAGAATATTGCTAGCGCTATGGTGATTTGGGTCAATGAAATACTACCTAACTGGGAAGGCATGTAAGTAAAGTTCTGTTGTGTAAATGAGGCAAGGTTGGCTTGTTTCGCCTCTGGAAACAGAGGAACCACATCCTTATTTTCCTTTTCCTTTCTGTTTTGTCAAGTAGTCAGTTTTTGTTGCCATGATATAGTAAGAGGTCATTGCAGAACAACATGAAATGTGCTTTCTGGGAGCTTAAGGTTTTGGGTTCTTTTAAGGGGGCTTTAGCATAAGCAGAGATCCCTGAATATTGTTTTGGGAATCAAGTATGTTATTTTGCTTGTAAGTTGCCCAGTGACTTTAGAAACAAGGTGTTCAATATGTGACTTTTTTGTTTTTCTTTTTTCCCCTGCTTCCCTATCCTAGGCGTGCTACCCGAAGAGTTCGAGAGCTGTGGTGGCAGGGATTACCCCCAAGTGTACGTGGGAAGGTTTGGAGTCTAGCTGTGGGAAACGAATTAAATATCACTCCTGGTATGCCTTAACAGATCACGTTTTAATGCAAAACTAAGTTGGTTATTTTCAAAGAAAAATTTAAACTTTTGTTTAAAAAAAAAAATCAGGGTATACTTGCTTTTTGAAGAACTGTATTTCACAACCTTAGGAACAGGTGTTTTTTACAATTAAACATCATAGCCTGGCAAATTAATGGGAACAAGGTTTAAAAAACTGGTTACGAAAACATTTTAGTCTTACAAGAGTTAAGGTTGTGCTCTTCCCCCCCCCCCCCCCCCACAATTTTTATGTTTAAAATTGAGAATTTGTAGCTTTGCTTTCTTAAGGGGGTGGAAAGGGGAATTGCTTTATTTCATAACTAATGATTTTGATGAACTGGAAGTGTTCTAGCCCATTCACAAAAATAAAAATCTGAATTATTTAAGACACGATTTCCCTCTTGTAACTTGCATGTTCACCACAGAAGAAAGCATAATACAGTGCACACTATAAAACTGTGTATAGTGGTACTCGAGTGGTTAGTGGTAAACATCTAATAGATTCTTCCCCTGCCCCCAGTGGTTAAGATGAAATCAAGCCACAAAACTAAAGCCAAGAATACTTAGTGTGCTTTTGCTTTGGATGGGTGCTTTTCTTACTTATCTCTTCCTTTTTTGTTGTTGGTTTGGTTTTGTTTTCTTCCAGAACTTTATGAAATCTTCTTGTCGAGAGCTAAGGAACGATGGAAAAGCTTCAGTGAGACAAGTTCTGAGAATGACGTAGAAGGTGAGATCTCGTGAATGTTAGATAGCCTCCTATTCACTTTTACCAATCCAGAAAGTCTCACAAGTTCAGCTGAAATTGCAGCATTAGGAATACTTGTTAAAAGTGCTCCGAGTCATTCCCTACTTAAATGTTTGCTTTTTTATTACAAGTCAGTGAGGGGCTTAACAGTATTACTGTATCAATAAAAGATGCATTAAAATAATTGCATGTGCTAGTTGCATTTCAGATGAATGGGTTTTCCTCTGAATTCCTGAAATACCAGGACTAACTCTCATGAAAATTTTAGATGAAATACAAAAAGAAGAAATGGGAAACTAAATTAGAGCATGGGCTGTTGCCTAGCTCTGCTTAGATGGTTCTTATGTTGGTATCCCACACTTTGGGGGAAAAAAAATTATTTCCTATTTTTTGATTGTGGGACTGAAAGGTAAAGAATATATAACATTACACATTTTGGATCCCACTTGGGTTTCCTTGGTTGCCCAGATGGCCTTTCCTCCCTAATCTATTAAGTGGGAATGTTAGCACGCTTGTATGTGTATGTATAATGGATTTTTATTACTGGCATGTTGCTGTCCCCTGTAGCTATTCTCCCTGTTAAAAATAGCATCAGTGGTGTTTTTAATGGTGGGTGTATCCCTGAAATCATCAAGTCCTTGTGCTGTTGACAGTTACTTTTTAAAAATGCTGTCTTGTGTGATACTGTCAGTACCAGCTGCTATGAAATAACTATTTTTTTTGAGTTGGTCTCTCTTTTGGGGAAGAAAATGCCATTGTAATGCAAGAAGTACTTTTTTGTTTGCACTTGCCATAGCCCATCCTGACTAATTGGCTACTTTGTAAATTATTCTGGTCTCCTTTAGGCTACTTCTGTAACTCATCTGAAACTTGTATAAAGAAATTGTGTGTTTACATGACTGTAAATATGCTTATCCTTGGAAAACATGTTTGCAATGGCCCTTGGTTTGTGGGGCGGTGGTTTGTTCTTTTGTTGTGGGGGTTTGGGCTGAGTGTGGGGTAAGGCTTAGGTAGCATTTTGGAAAAGCAGTAGTTCTGGATGGGAGCGAAAGGTGGGAAGGGTCCAATTTGATTGTGTCAGATGTTCTGGGAAATGTAGTAAGTAAGTAAATAAGGGAAAACTTAAGAGTAATAGGATTTTCATCTCTGGTTGAAAAGCAAGCCAGCCCACTGTGGTTATTACTAATCTTTGGTAGCGAAGCCTGGAGGATCAATTATTTTAGCCTCATTTAACATATGTGAACAGGAAAAACCTTCAGACCTACTCAAATATCTTTATCTGCCAAAATGAAGTGTTAAAGGTGAAGCACGAAGAGTGTCTTTTTGTGTTTTGAAGACATTCAGCAAAAGATGTGTTATCTGTCAGATCTGTTGAAAAGACCCCCAGTGACTCCTTTTTTGGAGTTGGAACTGAATTTCTTGTATAGATCCAGAGTTTCTTATGCTCTATACCATAAATTATAATCTTCCTTGGGAATACTCTATATGAATAGTGTCCCAAATTAACCAATATAATACCTGTTCCTTTTGAAGGAGAAAGGAGGGATGAAGCAGCAGTTCCTGAACTTTTTATTTTAGATTGTGTGTGTTCTTTCTCCGTAGTAATCACTGCCTTTCTCCCAAATTTCCCTAACACAGCCTGCAGCAGTCCCACTCACTCCTGAATGCAGCTATCTTAGTTTCAGGACTGGAAGAAAATGCTGCTTCCCAGGCTCCAGCAGAGCAGGTTCTGTTTAGCCTATTCATCAAATTCTGCAATCTTCCATTTCCCAGATGCCTCTTGACTTGTTTAAGCCCTCTGAAAGAGCCTTTTCCCCAGGTGCCACGTGTACTTTTCTCCTCGCCATCACTAGTATTTGCATCATGTCCCTATGGAGAAGGCAGGGCAGAGATAACTGAAGGGCCAGCTGAATTTCTTCTGGAGGTTCTTGAGTGAATGCTGCTTCTTTCCTGAAAAAAAACTAAGGATGCAAAAAAAGCTGAGTCAAATGAGAGCTCAGAAGTAATATAACTTCTGCGCATCGTTAAGTGTGTGGTCAGTTCTGGAAACTTCAGTGAAGTCTCTCTGTATATTTTAGTTACCTTCAGTAAAAGTGGGACATGAGAAAAGCATAACTTCGGAAATAATATGCTTGACTTTGCAGGTGAAGAAGTGCTAGCTTCTTGTGATAATCATAGAATGCTTTGGGTTGGAAATAATGATGCAATTCATCTTTTTCTTCTAGAGTACAGAGTATATTTCAATGCTGCTGGTTGAAATGAGCCACCAAATGAGCTGATTAGGAATAAAAATTTGCAAAGTGAGATCTCACTGGATCACGTTTAGGTAAAGAGCAGTGCTCTCACTCTGTGCTCTTGCACAGACTCAGTAACTGTCATCACAGCAGAAGATAAAACAGGGTTTTGAGGACTGGACTGGGCAAAGTTTGAATTCTAGTGAATGCAGAGCCCATCTGGGCCTGGCTTAGAGTGTTGTACAGAAGTAAAAGATAGCCTGTTGGTTTTATGTCTGAATGATGTAAAGGTGTACGACTTGAAAAAGAATGAGTAGACAGGTAGTAATTACTGATCGTTTCCCTCACTTTTTGGAGTTGATGGCATATACCAGGTATCAGTGGACAGTTTCAGCTCTTGGAGTATAGTACTGTAGAAGTGCACTCCAAGAATTAGAACTAGGTAACGTTTTCCCTTAGATCCTAAGTTTTATATGCCTATGGCATTTTTCTGCAGACTTCAGAATAATCTATCTATCAGTTTTAATAAGTGTTGGTTTTGCTTGCAGATGCAGGTGCATCTGTTGCTGATCGTGAGGCCAGTCTGGAGCTAATTAAGTTGGATATATCACGCACATTTCCATCCCTGTATATTTTCCAGAAGGTGAGATTTCTGTAACTTTAGTTATGACAACTTTAAACCTCTGAACAGTTAAACAAGAAAAGAAACCTAGCTGGCTAAATATGGAATAGTTTTTAGAAGTTGTTTGTATAAAACAATAAAAGTAAAATTAGTTGTTTTCTACGTACAACAGCAAATAGTAATTTTTTTTTTTTTCTAATGAGAATAAAGTAGGGACACTTAACAATGGGCTATAAGACTTTTTCTCCTGGAAAAATTGCATGTGGTTCCTATTAATGTTTATGAAATTACATGCAAAAATGAGAATATTCTCACTGCTTCTACAGAAATCTTCATGCGTTTTAATACACATTTTCAGGCTTTATGATTTTCATATAGATATAATATAGGCATACACACGTGTATAAAATAGCATGCACTATTGTAATACAGTAACTTGTGTTACTAAGAATTAAAACATCCACTGTCTCTGAAAAGGAAAAAACAACCCTGGCTGTGTACCAGATATGCTTATTTTCCATTATGTACTGATTTCCACTGAATTATTTCATAGCGATATTGGTCTGTTACTTTAACATCTCAAAAGCATACATGGTAATGCTTAGAGTAAAAACTGCTGTTATTCTAGATGTGAGCAAAGCAGCAATTCACTCGCTTCACTTGCATCTTAAAATACTGGCTTGTTACCTTCCTATATGTATAAAGTGATTTTGAAAAAAACTTTTTTTTTCTTTTCCCCTTCCTCCCTCCCCCTCGTATTAGGGTGGTCCTTATCATGATCTCCTGCATAGTGTTTTAGGAGCATATACATGCTACAGACCAGATGTGGGATATGTAAGTATTTGCTGTAAAATGTTTATAATGTGGCAAATAAGCTTAAGTTGTCATGTATTAGTGTATTTAATAAGTAGGTTAACTAAACTTAATGCTACTAGCACTTAAAAAGAATAATTCAACTTTGGCACTTACTCATTTCATAGCAGTTAGAATGATGGTAACTCTTAGAGGTAATTAAATAGCTGAAAATGTACTGAATGTCAAGGATGACTATGCTATCTGGCTTGCATGGAAAATTTTAAATGGATGTGTTCACAAGGCATTATAGTTCTGACAGACCCACAGTATCTACAGAAAAGAACAAAACGCTAGCAGACTTCCAGTGAGCATTTAGCCTGTTCTGTACTAGTCTTGCTCCCACTGCTGCCATTTCCATAGTGATACTGTCTGCTTCACTACCGCATATCCAAGAAATCTAGAAACTCCTTATTGGTGTCTTGATGTCAAAGATTAATCGCTTCATCTGAGTTCAGTGAAGATAAGATCGCTTGCAGCAAACATGACTGGTTAAAAAAAAAACAAACAAACCAACAAAACCACAAAAACCAAAAACCGAAAACCTAAAAAAACCAAACCAAAACAACCAACCAATAAAAAAACCCAAAGCCCATAAAAAGCTGCCAAAAAAACCCGCAAACAAACCAACTAAACCTAACATCTCTCTGAATGGTGTCAGCTTACAGAAGCAGTTAAATAACAGATGCTTTTTTCCTTCTTTTTCTTTCTCTGTTCCTGGTGGTAGCTAGGAACACCTTTCACAAGCTCTAATCTCTTCTGGGCTAAAAAGAACTTGAAGAGTTTTAAGTCTGATCCATGCAACAAAGCATTATTTAGCACAAGGTGTGTTTTCCTTTCTAAATCAGACATGCTTGGGACTCTGCATCAATATCTAGTTGGCTTTTCATGTTCAAGTGTTTAGTCCTGAATTTTGTCATCTGTGACCTCATTTTTTGGAGACCCTCCCATACTCTTTAAGTGAGATTACAAACTCTGCAGGTTCTGAGACTGCTTGTTCCCAGGGTGGAGTTTTAGAAGACAAATAAGTAATTTTTCATGGAGAGATCTTCTCTTTTTCATCAGGAACACAGCTGGCCTGGATATTGCTGATCATAGATTTTTTTTTTTTTTTAATGTTAATATGGCAGTAAACTTAATGTAATTTATTTCCACACCCATCTGTCCCACAAAAATGGAAAGCTGTGGGACTGGCTTTGATGCATATCAGTACTTTTTCCCCTAGTTGGTTAAAATACTGAGTGCATTTTTTTTAAAATGAGGAGCAGGCAGCATAAATGCCTAGAAACAGCAGAATAATAATCATTGCAGTTGAAATTGGTAAAATTATTTTTTATAATATAATGAGTTCAGTATTTTTTATAATAATGAGTATTCAGATCAGTTAACAACTACAAGAATAATGCTCATTACTTTTATTGCAGGCTAAAGTTTCTGAGAGAGTAATCATGGAAAAATGTAAACTTGTATTGTACCTAGCCACTTAAAAGTAATTTTATGTATGTGAACAAATACTGTTTGGCAAGTGGAAAGACATGTATTAACTTTTCTGAAATGGAATTTTGTCTCAATTCCAACAGATCTGTCTGGGTCTAAACTGTCCCATATGTGAGGTTTTTCTCCATGTCTGCTTTTCCCATAGCTTAACAATGAACTTAAGGCCAAATTTGGTCTCTTATGAGCTCTGCGTCCAGCCTGTGTGGTTTTAACTTTCTTGCATTCCAAGTCCCAAGGACTTGTGATCATGAGACCTCCTTGAACTTGCATCAAGCACCTAAAAGCAGCATCTGAAGAAACACTCTATGTCTTGGTGAAATCAAATTGACTGCATGCATAAAAATTATTTATCCGTATTGTTTCTGTTCAGCTGGAAATGTTATGCAATGGTATTTCATATATTGCAGACTGTAAATATTTGCATTTCCAAAGATATGAGATGTACTGAACCTACTCACCTATATTTGCCTGATGCTTTTCCCACTTGAAGGTACAAGGGATGTCCTTCATTGCTGCTGTGCTCATTCTCAATCTGGAAGAGGCAGATGCTTTCATTGCCTTTGCTAACCTTCTAAACAAGCCATGCCAGCTGGCCTTTTTCCGTGTGGATCACAGCATGGTATGCACAGAGTTTTCTGGGTTTGAACCGTAACATTCTTTCTGACTTGAAGCATAGTTGATTTATTGATGACTTTTTTTTTTTGTCCTATTGAATAATGGAGAACTTTAACCTGTGGTTACAAAACTGAGAATACCAGATACTAATTGATAGAACACATCCTACTGTTTTGATTTTTCCCTCTAGAAACACTTAATTGTTGTACTTATCCCAAGAAGTAGCATTGTGCTATGTTGACATCCTCAATTCTTCTTTGGGTTTGTGTTACTTTACAGGTAAACGTTCTTTTAATGACTGCTTATGAGGTGCTTTACTATCTCTACAGATGCTGAAATACTTTGCAGCCTTTGAAGTATTCTTTGAAGAAAATCTTCCCAAATTGTTTCTTCATTTCAAATCATACAGTCTTACTCCAGACATATATTTGATAGACTGGTGAGTTCAGAGAACATAGCAAACCTAACCTTACAACTGTTGGAACACTTTCCGTTTTGCTATAGGTTTTTCAGCAAGAGAAATACAGCATAAAAAAAGCATTCAGTAGGTGTTTGTGTACCTCAGCTTCCTAGGTCTTGTGAAATTGTGGTGAACTGTTTTCTGCAACCACAGTTTCTCTAGCAGGATTCAAATTTTATGAACTGGGATTAGGCATGACATCTATTCAGATAGAAAAGGAGACACACAGGGGTCCTGTGTCTCCTTTTCTTGTTGCTGCAGGTAAGAAGAGTCAGCTATGTGTAATATAAGTAGGGGAGAGGAGGCTACACCACCGTAGTTGTCATGACTGATTGTTAAGTGACTTGATGAAATTAACATACATCGGTCACTGAAGAAAGTATGAATATAGGAATATAGACTTCAAAGCAGAAGGAGGATGAAATTTAGGACCTGGTTTGGGAAGGGATAAACTTGGAAATACAGTGAACATTTTGCAGTAATGAATGTTCTAAAGCAGAGAGTACCAAGCTGTGTTATGTGTCTGTAGTGGAAGGCAGTAATGCAAGCCTCCTTGAAGTGTGTGTAGCGCTGCCGAATACGGAATGTCTATTCGTAAGCGTGTGTGTGTGGATAGGAATGTGCTTTATATAGGATTGTTATATGGGTTAGAAGTTTCTAGTAAATTGAATTGGGTAGAATTAAATAATAAAAAAAGGTCATGTCATCTGAGCACTTGGGAATGAAGAACTTTGGCTGTAAGATGCAGCTTATCAGTAAGCAGTAAGTCTCTGCAGGAGCAGGTTATACAATAGCAGCATTGAGTCAGGAGTGTGCTGCAGTCACAAGAGTTTAGGCAGATTGAGAGAGAGGTATATATGTTGCGGAAATAGTGCTGCTGTACAAAGTACTAGAATATTCTGCTTCCAGTTACCTGTGAGAAATAAAGATGGTTACTCCTGCACATGTTCCAAAAATGGCCTTGAGATAGAGATCTCCTCTTATAAAGGGAGAGTAGAAGAGGTTGTGGAGTAAGGAGTGTTTTGAGGTTCCTGAACCACTTCCCAATAGGAATAATGGGGAAATGGAGAACACCGTGCTTTGTATCAAAGGAACCACTACAAATTTATGGGAGGGGTTCTACAATACGGTACATACAGCAGACTGAACTCTCTGCCCATGTATAATGAATGCTTTTTAAAAATAAACTTTGCAATAAGAAATGCAAGTGAACTCTTCCCAGTAAGAATAGAACAGTGTCTGTCTTTAGATTTTTGGCGATTTTTAACATGAATAGAAATGCAAAATGTATCATGGAAATGTAGTTATTTGTAGATTTTGTAGATAAAATGTAGAATTCTCATCAGTACATTAGTGGGATGTAGCCTTCTATTGAGATGATTTGTGGCTTTAGATTTAGTTTAGAAAATAAATGATGAACAGAGCTGTTCACCCTTCCCATTCTTGAAGGCATACAGTTTATGTTCTTATTTGTATATTATACCCTGTTTGAGTGTAAAGATGTTTGCAGCCTTTCTAGCCAGAGCTTCCTGAAGGTGGTGGTTTTCAAATGGAGGATTTCCTGTAGCATGAAAAGAGATGGGTCTCAGAGTAGGAGTTCTCACTTTAAAATCTGGAGACTTGTGGATCTTTGAAATACAGAAAAAATAAGAACATATGAAATAATGTCATCCGCTCACTCTCAGCTAACATAACTGAGATTTAAAGACGGTTGTATTTTCATCTTCTGAAATAGGTTAAAGTTATAACTGTGCCTTTTTTCCCCTCTATTGTAGGATTTTTACACTCTACAGCAAGTCATTACCACTTGACCTGGCCTGTCGTGTCTGGGATGTCTTCTGTAGAGATGGAGAAGAATTTTTGTTTAGGACAGGGTTAGGAATCCTTCGGTTATATGAAGATATTCTCCTACAGATGGACTTTATTCATATAGCACAGTTTCTAACAAAACTTCCAGAAGACATTACATCAGAAAAGCTTTTTAGCTGTATTGCAGCTATTCAGATGCAGAATAGTAACAAAAAATGGGCACAGGTGAGTTTCTTGTATATGTATCTCAAAACAGACATGTCAGCACATGAGTATATGGGGCACTTAATGACTACTTTATGCTGCATGTCTGACTTCTGAGCAATGGGCACTTCCTTTCTAGTGTCTCATTCTAGAAATTAATCTCCATGCTAACATTGTGGTGGTTAATAGGGATCTTTTTTTATAAGACTGGCTTTTTTATATTCATTAAATAATTTACTTTTCCAGGTGTTTGCCTCACTGATGAAGGACAACAAAGAAGGGGACAAGAACCACAGCCCAGCACTGAAAAGCTAATCGTCATAATGTTGAGGTCAGTTGAAAATGTGGAAAACCACTTGATGACAAAGGAGTTTTCACATCACTTCTTTGTGGAAAAACACTATAGAAAATGTGAAAAGGAGATGGAAAACCAACACAGCTCTCAGTGGAGTAATGAACTGATGAAATCTTTGCCAGTATTAGCGTTTGTCATGGGAAGATTTGTTTTCACACAGAATACTAAAACCTATGAAACTGAGAAGCAAGGGAGTTCATATTTAATACTTTAAAAGAATCAGCTCAATGCAATAAACATTTGTAATAACTTCTGTTGGTACTTTAAAAAAAATTTTGAGGCATAACTTTTTTTACAAATACCACAAAGGCACTTTTGGGGGGGGGGGGGGGGAAGAGGGATGACTTAAAAACTAGGGGGGGGGAAATGAGGGAAATGCTAAATCTTAAGGCCCTAAACCTGCTATCCAAACCAAATGCTTTGGTACAAATATTACCTCCAAAATTAACCATTTGAAAGTACTGAGGACCAAATAAGGTGGTTTGGTATATTTATGTGCAAGATGGTTAAAATTTGGGAAGGGGGTATTGTCTTATTTACTTGGGTTTTCTTAAGTTGCAGCTTCATTCTTCAGTCTGGGCAAATGTAATTAACTCAGGAACTGTGGAAGTATTGTGCCCAAACCTGTTACAGCAAAAATCATTGAATTTTAAACAGTGGTAAGATCAAGGCTATTATTTTCAGAGTGTACAGCTTTTGAAGCAAGGGGTGTTAAGCATTTGTTTTGGTGTATTGGTTGTGCAGCTTATTAAAAATGGAGTGGGTATTCTGTGAAAGGGTTTTGCCACCAGAAGTTTTATTTTGTTGAGCCATTTCCAACTGAGAAATACTTGTATGTAATGGTGAACACTAGAAACTGACAAAGCTATCTGCAGACTTTGTGTAGTCAAAGGAGCAGCCACTTTTAACACTTTGGAATAATGCAGGCACAGAATCGTTTTATTATTAGTGTGCAATACTGAAATCCAAAAAGCATCTGGCTTAGTGATACTTAATTCTTTATCATCTTTTATAATGTGACCTTATGTCTCACAGTTATGTGTCACGGCAGATATTTTCAAACGTTTCCTGTTCTCGAAGATGCTGTACAACAACTTGTGTTTGTAGGGGATGGAAATTTAAAATGGATAGCACTGCAGGTGAGGAACACTTGCACTCTCTTGGTCCATTTTTGCTAATATTTAATGTAAATAAATTCCTTACATGTGGGTTTTTGTAACTGGTCCCTCTGTGGAAATCAAGTCAAAATTACCATTATGTATTTTTAAGTGCAGGAGGCTTCCGGTTGTCTGGTGTTTAAAAGCAGAGTCTACATAATTGGGGTAAAGATTTAGTGTGGTGTAACTTACGTTGCTATCTGGTTTAAAAACTACATATATATATACTACTTATAACATTACAACTTGAAATTTCAATGTCAGATTTTTCTTAACTTATGTATTCACTACTTTAATTGGATCCAATGTCTTATATTTTTGTGTTATCTTGTACAGTTTTCTTACTTTTCAATTATAAATCTGTATATAACTGTAAATAGAAGGATCAAGCCTTCCTCTAAGACCACTAGTAACAATTCCTGTGTAAATAAAACTTGTACCAGAGGTGCGGTGTGCTGCCTTTCCCTTCCTCCCGCC